CAGCCATCCACTGATTGCAAAGGAACGTGTGAACATGCTTCGTTTGGAATAAACTCTTGTGTGTATGAACTGAAACCCTAGTCGCAAGACTTTGACGTAGCCCTCAAGTTTGCCTTTTTGTGTCTGACGTCCTTCTCCTAGGTTCACCCACATCATACCACAGATTGTAACTTTATTTCCCTTTATGGCTTAGTAATAGTCCGTTATGTGTAGATACCACATTTTATTTATCCATTAGTGTAATATATTCATATTTTTCACCTGGGTTGAACCCTTTTACATCCTCATCAGTAAAGGATGAAAACTTCAATTTCCCTATATTCTGATGATCGCTTGTTACTTTCTTTTATTTAAAAAATGGGGTAAAGGGAGACAGTGGTCCATGTAAGATATGAAAACAATAATAATCTACAATTTATCAGGGGATCATGAGGGTGGAAGAGGGGGAGGGAGGGGGGAAAAGATGCTGATACCAATGGCTCAAATAGAAAGTAAATGTTTAGAAAATGATGATGGCAACCTATGTACAAATATGCTTGATACAATTGATGTATAGGATGTTGTAAGATCTGTAAGAGGCTGCAATAAAAGGATTAAAAATAATTTAAAAAATGATATCCATCCTAATGGGTATGAAAGCCAATGAGCTTTTAGTTTTCTCATTACTCAGAATTACTATGGCAATAATTGACTAATGTATTACATCCCAACACCAAACATGAAACTGCCAGCTATAAAGAATCATAGCCCTGCTTTTATAACAATTGAAAAGTTCAGATAGCAATGCTTTTGTTTATAATTCTAATAAAAAGCTCCTCCTTTCCATACCTGGTCGAATTGCTTGTACTGGTAAGATCCGGTGACCAATAAATTTGCCTCCTTCTTCATAGACTGCTATCCTTAAACAGGCCAGGGACGGAAGGACCACCTACGGGATATTGGGCACGAAGAGTGAGCATCACCGAGAGAGAATTGGACCCTGGTACTCAAAGGCCCAGCTCTGACAATTCCCCTGGGAATGCTGACAAAGCTAATCTCCACAGAAAGCGAAGCGGCTGCTCCGCAAAGGTGCTTCAGAATGCTCCTGGGAAAATTGCCACGACCTTTTCTTCCATTTCCCCCCACATACTTTGTGAAGGTCCTCATAGGATTTAGATTTTCAAAAGAAGACATAGAGCAGGATGGATTTGTTTGAGCTTTATCCATTGCCCAGTGAGGCCTTTGTTTGTTCCATGCATGGAACGTTTTCTTCTTTTATAAGGAAAACTCTCCACGTGGACACATGGATACAACAAGCTCCAGGTTTACGCACACAGAGGAGTGGCGTTACCTTTACGTGAGCACTTCCTTTGACAAGTTCAAAGCAAACGACTTTGATGCTTTCACAGCAAAAGCAAACAAACAAACATACCCACAAAACGTAGCCTTCAGGACAGTTTCCAAAATGCTACTGCTTCATAAATGTAGTTCCAAATTACGCAATAAATAATGACTTATTAAATTTTTCCCTTCGCTGTAAAACAACAGGGATGCACAGTTGCATATCATGTCAGGAATACAAGCCCTTTATTTTAAAATGCTGCTGATTACAATGGCAAGCTAGGACGTATTG